TCTGACAGAGTATTCAGTTCATCTGTTTCTGTCTCATCGTATTATCACTTTTACAAACAGCTTCTCCACTGTCACACAATGTGAAACAAATTGCACAACAGGGATTGGCCTAGTTTATGACAAATACATCAAAAAGGCTTGGAAATCTAGAAGATTTTAAAAAAATGTGATTTTGATCCGTTTTTAAAAAACGTTTTCTTGCCCAGTTCACTATTTTAGTAATACAGTGCAATTCATGACTGATGCATGTTTTTGTTCAATATACAAAGTCAAAAGTACAAAATAGGCTGCAGCACCATTATTCTCTATAACCTTTTAGTTGAATACAGAAACTCTAAAGCCCAAGCTTTTTTTTCTTGAGGTGGGGGGGGGGGGTGTCCCACACAAAGCTCTATTTGAATGTGGCGTAGAAGTGCACACAAAGCAAAAAGTCTTGTTGTGGTGTGTCAGTCTGAAACTGTTTCTCCAGAACTCTATGCTCATCCTGTAGCTTCAACATTCATCTAGTGTGTTTGCCCAACAACTGATTTGTACAAGAAAATGGAAAAATAACAATGTAAACCGACACCAAATATAAAGTAAATGTGAGAAATATATATTTATATTTTGTGCTAAATTGTAATCAAGTGTATTTGCTAAGAGGCTATGCTGAGTAAATTAATTTAGGTTTTACTCAAGTCCTTTTTTTAATCATCTTAAACTTCTAATCCAAAACAACCCAAAGGGATTTTTTTTCCGCTTTGCTTCTTTTAATGAAAGTAGCATTTAGTGTCGATCACCCACCGCCTCACCTTTCAAAGTTTTAAACAGATGTTAAGCAATCTGTTAGCTCTCAAAGCATGTGATGGGGACGACTTTCAGCTTCTTCTTTTCAAAATTTGAGCTCAGCATTTGTAAAATTGATTGATTAACTGTGGCAGACATATTGAATTATCAGCTGTCGATGTTCATCCAATGATCAGTTTCTGAGTTTCATTAAAATCTGTCCAGTTGTTAATGGGTTAGACACAGACACAAGACATCACATCATCATCATCATCATCATCATCATCATCATCGGGATAATGATTTTTTTCTACATCTGTTGAAAATAATATTGTCATTTTTTGTAAACAATAAAACTATATAGAATATAAATTACAGTATGCATTAAACTTACCAAAACAAAGTATTTGTGCATGTGAAATAAAATCCAACCAGTATTTAAAAGACCAAGTTTTCAGCTGTGTTTTAAAATAAAATCTTTAGGAGTTCGAAGAGCATTTATGTGCAAAGAAAGGAACAAATGCTTGCCAAAACTAATCTAATTTATATGTATGAATGTTTGTGTTTGGTCTAGCTGGTTGTTTTAAAAAAATGAGATTAAGAGCCAGCATTTTTGAATTTATTCTCAAACGGGGGAGAGACTGGCATGGGTGAAATCAATAGGAGATGATGGCGCTCCCTGGGACTCACCCCATCAGGGTGATTTACTAAAGCAGCAGGAAGTCTCGTTTATTCATTCGAGCCCTTTTATAAATGGAGCAGAACATCGTGAAGTGCTGTGTGTGTGTGTCTTTTATTGAGCAGGAAAAAGTTATTTCAATTATATATTTCAGCTGCTCCTACATTTAACCAGTAAATATAATCACATGCAGAACCAGAGGATGACTGTAGGTTATGTCTGCAGGCAGGGATTTGACTCACATGTATCCCACAGGCCTGTTAGGCAGTTGGGTCAGAAATTGTTTGTAAGAAGGCTTTATTTATTTTTTGTTCATCTGTTTATCATTTATCATTGTCTCAATGTCTTTAAACAAAAAGGTTTTGAATGAGAAAGTGAAAGTAACTCGAACAAATGTGCACAACAGTGAAACTTTTAATGTTTTTTTTTACATGGACTAGAAAATGTTTTAATTCCCAAAGAAAATGAGGTTATCACAGCACATTAATCAATAAAAACTACAGACAAAACTGTAAACATGAACAAGTCTAGTAGGACGATGATACATTTCATGCTAAAGGAGTGTACTCTGCTGACTCAGATAGATGCAGTAAAAAGTTATTGGTGTGGACAGAAATATCCTCCTTTAATATTGGCCCCTGTAAAAAATGGTGCTACAGGGTTTCAAGTTAAAGTTTGGAAGGGATGAAAAATGATGAAACTGCTTTTTCCTCATCCAAGCTGTTGTACTTTTCCCCCCATGCATGTCTGAACTGCAGCCTGAAAGAGATTTTAAAATTTAAGGGGATGCCCAAAATGTTTATAGGTTGTTTGAGGCAGCATTGACTTCAACAAAATCCACAAAACAATATCTAGTTTTAAGTCCAGTTTAAACTTTCTTCTTGGTTTGTGTATCTGGGAGTATTGCACTGACTAGGCAGTGTGGCTGCCCGATCCGTACCGGAAGCTTGATCCGTGCTGTCCCGGAAACATTGGGCCTCATGCAAGAACGTGTTCGTATTCTTATCCTAAATTTCTCTTACTTTTGTTCGTACGAACCCTTCGTACGAACATGCCACG